GGTCTGAAAGAACCTTTCCGACAATTGCTGCTTCCAGGTCCTGCTGTCAGCCCCCGGCCCCCACTACAGACCCATCTCTCGAGAGAGCGTTTCCTCTTCCACAACACAAAGCGTGGACAACATAACATAGATTGTGTGCAGTGTGTTTGCCAAGAACAAAGGGAAAAACGATCCAGGCGCCAAAAAAAATCCAGACACTCTATTTCCTTTTCCTCCGCCAAGGCGGTGCACGGTCACTTCTCTTCGACGGCTGGCTCTTCTGGCTCCTCTTCCGCAGCGTCCTTCAGCTCGTCGCTGAACATCTGGGCCAATGCCTCTGCCAAGCTCTGCTGGTAGAGCACGCTGTCGGTGTCCACGATCAGCTTTGCAGCCTCCCGGTTCAGCACGTTGCCGAGCCATGTGGCGTGCAGCGAGCTCCACACGTAGCACACACAGCCAACGCCACTCCGCATGCACGCCGTTGCAAGCGAGCCACTTCCCGGCGAGAGGTCCTCCACAGTGGCGAGGCTGAAATTCTTCAGCAGTGCATCCCACAAGGCACCGGGCTTCCTCACAACAATGTCGGGTGATGCGATGCAACCCTGCTCTGCCCTAAACATTTCACAGGTGGTGCTTTTGGAGGAACAGGTGGGCTTCTCCTTTGTTCTTGCGTGGTCTGGGGGCCCCCTCAACAAATGCGGGGCGCCAAATCTTGGCCAAGAAGCTGCTCACGGAAGAAGAGCGGCACGGCGTCCGAGGTCCAGCAGTCAGGGGCATGAGCGTACTCTGCCGGCAAGTTGTGGATGGTCGCTTTCGACTCCCGAGAGATCCGCGGCAGGCGCTGCACCTTGGAGCCCGCCAGAAACAAATAATGCAACAGAAATTGGCCAGCTTAAACAGAAACAGCATACCCCCAGCGAAGGCACTGGAAAAACACAGGAACCACCAGAGCAATTTTGGAAGAATGATGCCAAGCCCTGATTAAGGCGACCCAAGGCACAGCCTGCGGCTCCACACCTTCGTATGTGCAGTCAGCCGTCGTGGCATCATCGCTCCGGCAGAAGTCGTCCTCCCGGGGGTTGCACGAGAGACGAACCCGCGCAGCGGGCAAGCGGACTAAGCCGATCTCCCTCGCCACGTCGCTGCCGAACACCTTCCAGACTGGGCCCACTGACCCAGCCTTGCTGTAGCTCAACCACAGCTCGCAGATCTCTGTGTTGGGCACCTTCTGGAACGTATCCTCCATCTGCTTTCGGCTGTCCCTGTTCCGGCCATCGAACAAGAAGTGGAACTCGGCCTCCCGCTGCCCCAGCTCACCAACGGTGGCCAGGGAAAGCTTGAACTTCTGCTGCCCATCCTTCCACATAGTGGCCACCGACCAAGGAGGATCACCGTCACTGATCAGATCGGCACTCACGAAGACACCGCGGTGCTTCTCGTTCAATGCCAACTCCGACTTGCTAGAGCGGTTGTGCAAGATCACCTTCACAAATTCGCTGGCTGTCGTGGGCTTCTTCGGCTTGATCTCGGCCAAGTTCACGATCTTCACGTGTGTCTTGCGCACAGCCACGGCCTTCTCCCAAAGCTCATCCCGCTCTCTCTGTGCCCGTTGCAGGCGCTCCGCCTCCAAGGTGTCACTGTCGGATCCCATGCGAGCCAGCTGCCGCACTGACAAGGACGGCGCAGAGGCCTTCTTCTCCTCGACCTTCCTCTCGCTCAGCGCCGCGCAGGCTGTCGCCACCCGCTGGCCAAGACCGGTCTCCTGGTCCTTCTCCAAGGCCTCCAAGATCTTCTGGTGCTCAGCCTTGCTATCGCCGCAAATCTTGGCCAGGTCTTCGGCAAACTCGCCACCCAAAGCCTCCTGGAAAAGATCCAGCAAGGCGTGCTCGCGCTCCGGCATCTGTTTCTTGGCCGCTGCAACGATGGATTCCTCCTCCGCTGCGCGGCCAGTGGTCTCTTGGCCCTCCTCCGCCGATTGCGGGCGAAGCTGCGCAAGGTCACTGCCTAGCAGGACGTCGACGACCGCGTACAAACAAATCCATGGGAGCATGGTGTCCCCGAGCCGTAACATCAAAAAGAACCTCACAGCAAAACACCCAAAAGAACCTGCGCTGCAAAACGCTCAAGCCACAAGCACGGAGACTCAAAACATCAACTTTTTAAGC